CATTCTCCTATTGCAAAGGACCTTTAACAGCTGCTTATAATCTTGTCATAGGCCCTGTTTGAGTGGAACTAATCCCATAGGGTTTTATTAAGACACAATGATGGTGGAGGAGGGAAGCTTTTACGTGCTTCTGTTGGAAAGAACTGCCTTTTGAGCAATGTGTGTGCTGTGACAGAAAAATCCTGTTTTGGTGACTGTCTCTAGCTCAGATAACTGGGCTACACTGCAATCATCATCATTCTGGAGAATCACAGATCATTCTGGAGTCACCATATTAAAAGGATTAGGCAAAGACTGTTTCATGTATGCATGCCCAGGCCTCCTTTCTCTTTCTTAAGTAAATGCAAACTGAGAGTAATTTTGTTGTAATCACAGAATATGCTATGTTGAAATGGACCCACAAGGAACATCAAGTGCAATTCCCCCTGTATGGAACCATTCCCAAGAATCACACCATGTGTGCAAATGCTTCTTGAACTTTGTCACGCTGGTGCTGTGACCACTTCCCTGGGGAGCCTGTTCTAGTGCCCAACCACCCTCTGTGTGAAGAACCTTTTTCTAATATTCAAACTGAACCTCCTCTGACACAACTTTAGGCCATTCCTTTGGGTCCTGTGTCACTGGTCCTCACAGAGAACAGATCAATGCCTTTTCTTCCCCTCACACGAAAGTTTTAGGTTCCCATCAGCCACTTCTCATACAGCTTCCCCTCAAGGTCCTTCACCATCTCCACAGCACTCCTTTGGATGCTCTCCAGTAATTTTTCTTACAGTGTGGTACCTAAAACTGCACACAATATTCAAGGTGAGGCTGCCCCAGTGGGGGACAATCCCCTTCCTTGCCCAGTTGATGATGCTGTGCCTGATGCACCCCAGGGCATGGTTGGCCCTTGCCCAGTTGATGATGCTGTGCCTGATGCACCCCACGGCATGGTTGGCCTTTTGGGCTACCAGGGCACACTGGTGACTCATGTTCAACTTGCCACTGACCAGCACCCCATGGTCCCTTTCCATGGTGCTGCTTTCCAGCATCTCATTCCCCAATCTGTCCATATATCCAGGGCTGCCCTATCCCAGGTGCAGAATCCAGTACTTTCCTTTTTTGAACTTCATACTGTTGGTGATTGCCCAGCCCTCTGATTTATTGGAAGTCTCTCTGCAGGGCCTCCCTGCCTTTAAGGGAGGGAACAACTTCTTGAAGTTTTGTCTCATCTGTGAACTTGATTAGTGTCCCTTCCAGTACTGCATCCAAGTCATTCACAAAGATGTTGAAGAGCTCAGGGCCTAAGATGGAGCCTTGCAGAGCCCCACTAGTGACAGGTCATCAGTCTCATGTCACCCACTGACTGCAACCCTTTGTGTCCCACTCCTGAGCCAGTTGCTCACCCATCACATGACATATTTGTCCAGCCGTGTGCTGGATATTTTATCCAGAAGGATACTGTGAGAGACAGTAGCATAAGCTGTATGGAAATCGAAAAAGATGACATCAGTTTCCCTGATGACTTCCCTTGATCAGCTAGATGGGTTACGTTGTCATTAAAGAAAATCAGGTTTGAAAAGCATGATGCCATGCTGGCTGGGACTGAGGACTATGCAATAATCAACTATGTAAACTAGAATATACAAAGGGTCCCTAAGCTTTATCACATTGTTAAAAGCCAAAGTGTGCAAATATCACTGCAGGTGATATTTGAAGGAGTAGACCCAGATAGCAATTTTTTGAGACTCCTGGGGCTATGATCTGAATATAGTTTGTACTCTGCATCTCAGAGCAAATCTGTATGCAACAACCCATGCTTCCAGCCCCCAGAGTGTAGATGTCTGCTGTGCTGCTTTTATTTCTGTATGCAGTAGAAAAATCCAGCCTTTTTGAACCAGGAGTCAGCTGAGTGACTTTGTTTTTCAGGTACTCACACAGTTATGAAAACCAGATCGTGTTGGGCACAGAGCAACTGCAGAAATTCAGGGTGGTGACATTTGTGCTGTGAATCAGAGCCCACAGTCAAGTTTTCATACAAGTTTCCTGTCAAAATTTTTGTCACATTGGCCATTACAAGACACTTCAAAAGCCTTGGGTAATGCACACTTTTGTAAGACGTTTCTAGGAGAGTGTTCACTGAGCACGTAAAAATCACCTAAGAGGCTCAACTACATAGCTCTTAATAGCATGTAACAAATAGGTAGAGCTAGTTAATTTTTTTCAAGATTGCCAGACTATGAGTGGTCCCAGGATAGGGGCATGGGAAAAGGAAAGAAGCATGCAGATATCATTGAAAGAGAGCAAAATGAACTTTCTTTATCTAAAGAATTCATGTTACTGAAAAGAAAGGCTGTCCCCAAACACATTAACAGCTCCTAAACTTGGTTCTCCCTTCCCCCAGGTTAGACCCAGAAGACTGCAGCAGGTAGTCCCTGCCTTTTAAGGGATATTCTGCCTTTTGGTGGATGAGGAATTCAGAGGGAACAGAGGAGTAGCCCTGGCACCTCAAGAGTCTTTGTGGCTTCTGAGTCAGGTAGTGGCAGCCAGATGCCCTCCAGCCTTATCTGCTACCCTTTTATTTAAGACAAGCAAAAATAATTTCTGGAGGGACTTAATTAAATTCCACTAGGTCACAGTCTCTGTGCAACTCATCTTCACTTCTCTTCCACATTTATAGTTGATGAATATCTACAACCTTCCTCATTACACACAAGGGTTATTTCCAGAGATGCAGGCAGCAGGATACAATTCATAGGACAGCGAGATGAAGCAGAAGGTCTTATGCATAATTCCGCACTGAATATTCCTTCAACTTCCTGATTCTACGCCTGTTGTCTTTGTAAGATGGATATAGGCATTCCCTCCTTCGATGTTTGCAGATGACAAGTGTGTATATTAAAATGTTGTCAAGCTGCAGCTCTGAAATGACATGCCTAAACTTTGGGTAGACAAAGAGACAGGAGATGGACTGCAGTAAAGCACACTGGCTGTCTTATGGGCCCTCGGAGCAAGGTTTCTGAATTTATCACGAAGGTTAAATTTGCAATGCTTGACACAGAAAATAAAATTATGCATTGGAGGGATGGCAGCCTTGCTTTCAAGTGCCCATTACAGGGATTTTTGTGAAAAGGATGTGAGTTTTGGGCAGGATACTACTAGAACCAGCTTATTAAATTCATCCACACACCACTCTTGGTAGCCCTGGCTTTGCTGACTTTGGTGCCCAAGGGCAGTCTCTGCTGCAGACAACTACATATTGAGTGATCTTAAATTATCTTTTACAAAAATAAAGCTCAAGAACAGTTTTGCTTAAGTGCAGGTATCTCAGGCCTCAGTAATTTCTTTTCTATGTTGTACCCTCCTGTCTGTTCTTACCAAATGGTAAATTACCTCTGTTCTGAACTGGATTTCTTTTCCTTTGACTTTCTATGGCATAAATCTTTACATTTTCTATTACTGTGTGCATTTTGCCTTTTTCTCTCTCTGTTTCCCAGCTCATCCTCAGAATACGATTTCTAGCTAATGATACTGTTGCATTTTCTGTGCTTATTTTGCCATTTCCAGCCATTGGTACAGCTGCAGGATTTCTGTGTGTTAGCTCCAAAAGAGTGGAGCTGTTTCCCCCGGTTGATTGTCTGGGTAGCTGTAGTGCCCTGGCAAGGCATCACTGCATTGCACTGAACTGGACTGGCTGAGCACTGTGCCATCTGTACACAGATTGTTACCCTTTACAGCCCCTTTTAATAGAAGCTCTTATGGCACCATAGGAAATGATGACTAAATATATAGCCAGTGTATATGGCTCCATGCTGCTGTACTGATAGGAAAGTGTACTTTTGCATACTGGTAGTGGGGTGCTGTGGATTTCTTTGGAGGTTTTCCCTCCCCAAGCAATAGTTTGGTTAGGAACCAGGCTGCCCTCCAGTAGAGCCCTGTGTCACATGAGCACCAGGAAGTCTGTAGAGCCTTGGATGTCTCTAGGCTGTTGCCTCTGAGGTGGAATAACAGCATAAAATGAGAAAGCCATAAAGATATTCATAAAGTAAAATGAAATTTTCATCTTCACTATCCTGAGCAAGCTGTCTGTATTATGCAAATATCAAAATGGCATAAACAAAAGAGATTCTGCTTGTGCTAGAAGCACGTTTTGGCTCTCCTGAGATATTTGATATATTTGATGGATTTGATATCAATATAACTGATACTGCACTGCTCAGAAATTTACCTCAAACTATTCTTAATCATCAGCTTGATCTGCCAATCATGCAGAACATCCATGGGAAACATCTACATTTGCCTAAGGGTTTTTTCTTCCCTACCCCTATGTCCAGTCTAGATGAAATATTTCCACATAGTGGCTGGGGAGTCTAGGACAGAATTGCTTCTCTAGGCAGTACACTGGAGAATATGACCCTGTTGTTTTTGCCTGACAAGATGCCCAGGTAATTCACAGTGTGTTGAACTGAAATGGACTCCAATACCATGTGCTTTCCAACAGAAGTTAACTATAGTGCTAGATAAAATGATGCATATAAATTCATATATAAATTTATATATAGCTATATTAGTTATATTATATATTTCTATCTATAAATATCTATTTAATGCATTTAAATAGTTACATCTACATATAAAGTCAATGATTCTTTATGTCTGTAACTGTGCTATTTGACCTAGGAGTCAAATTCGTAGTCCAGTTGTAGTATGTACAGAGAGCAGTAAGTATAAAGTACATGGCAGAAACTTCATCACAGGAGTTTCTTCATGTTCTAATATTGGGACCAGCTTACATAAATAATGTCTCAGGGTTACTAGATAATGCCTAGGGCATGCACACAGAGTGGTCCACCTGGCTTATCTCACATTCAGTTTAACAGGGGGTTATCTGTGATTTCAGCAGGAGCAAGGAGCTGTCAGGAAAAGTGTGCTTGTGTCAGCATTCATGTAATGCAGTGAGGGACCTAAAGGAAAAGCGCAGGAGAAAAAAAATTATGTGTTTTCTTTTTATTCCCCCACAGATTGACCATCTCTGCTGAATGTCCCATGCAGCTTGAAGATTTCCCCATGGATGCACATGCTTGCCCGTTAAAATTTGGAAGCTGTAAGTTCTCTTCTGGAATAAGAACTTGAAAAATACCATTTTCTGGCTTCTCATGTTCAAACATATCTTGTACAGATCTTTCACCCTCCCCCCCAGCCTTCCCCTTTTAACATGGTTCTTTAGCATCCTCATTCTGCTCCCCTTGCTGCTACCCTGCTGCTTCTTTCCCGTGACTATGCTTTATCTGGGCCTGCTGCTTTTCAACTCATGCCTGCATACTCCATGATAAACAGTGAGTTGATGGGTGATATGCCTTATATATCCACATCAAATGTAACAGCCACTGTTAGGTGGAGTTCTAGATGGAGACAGCTAAATTGATAACTTGCTTTTACATCTGGAGTAAAACAGAGCTTTCACTGCACTGATCAGATTGATGTGCAATTGTTTTAGTGTTTACATGAACCAGACTGCAGTACAATATCTGCATTGCATATATTAAAAGAGATCTAGAATATTAAAAGAGGAAATATCTTTCCATTTGGCTTTAATAAATCCAGTCCTGTATCCTGTTACATGATGTTTAATACACATGTATTTGTATATATGCACACATTATTCTAAACTGTATGCTGAATGATGATTTTTCCTCAATTCCAAGCCTCTAATCCACCACACTGCTGCCTTGCCAGAAGCTTACTTTAAAAATAACCCCAGGGAATCAGATGGTTATATTTAAAAACAAAGCTCTTAATTAAAGTACAAATGAGGCTACTGCAGTAGACTTTTGGGTTTTTTTTTTTTTTGGTAATCAAATCAGAGCTTCCAGGTGCAATCATTGTCTCTGAAGACTTTTGATAATTACCATGCAAGGCATTTTGCTAGCCCCTGAAGCCACCTAACTTCAGCATTTTGCAATGTTTTTCAGCCGTATCAATTTAGAGTCACTAATCCTAGCAAGATTAAGCTTTGCCCTTATCGTCTGTATCTGCCCTGATTTAATACTGACTATACATTGTCTTCTAGTGATCATACTAAGAAGTAAAAACACTGTTTATGTGGTAATTATACCATATTACCAAACTTTAGATGAACTGATTTCCTTTCCCTCTTCCAATCCAGATAGATTCTGTTTCATCCAAATAGCCACCAGTATTTTACAAAGTCACTGCAGGTTCAAGTGTTTTTTTTTACTTCAGCAGCATTAATTTACAGCAAAGCCAATATAAGTCTGAAGGTCCAGACACCTTTACATTCTACTTAAAATAAAATGTGTATGCAAATCACCCATTTAATTCTGAACTTGAAAATCGGAAAACATCTCACAGGAGACTGCAGTTGTTTATATACATGGTTAACAAAAGCCACTGGAAAGAATGAATAAGATAAAGAAGGTGTATCCTTCCTGGTATTATATATTGTTTATCAATAGATGAAGTTACATTAGTTGATTTCTAGTCTAGACTAGAGAACTGATATGTTGTAAGGTTTTATGAAATCTTGCAAAATGTGTAATACTAAAACATACATATTTAAAAGAAGAGCCTGATGCATAAGAGGTCTGAAGCTCAACCATAAAGTTAAATGGATGTTTCCATGTATTAGTAGATTAGGTGCAGTAAGGTACAGGTTCTAACTCTCCACATAGTAAGACCAAAAAAAAAAGCATCCCAATCAAACATGTGAGTGCATGAGATAATATTACAAGATAAGCTACATATGCTTAGAAGGAGTGCCCAGTAATCTGTCTGAATGTAATTATACGTCCCGCTAGTGCCAATTGTGTTACATGTTAATCACCTCTTAGCACACAGGTAATTTTAGTCTGTGTCAAAACCAGCACTAAGGATTTATATTTTAGGCCTGTGAGGGGTGAACAGAGTTTTAGTTTTTTTGCCATGCTCAGAATAAAATATGTTTATACCTTACAAGTTTATAAGGTATTAAAAATAATCTTTAAGTTCTTTCACAATGTGTAGACATGGAACTATTTGATCTGTGCTAGCCATACCACTGGCTTCTGCAAAAAGTAAATATAGAGGGACATGCTATAGACATTCTTTCAGCCTTGAGAATATCTTTATTACTGATCTGAAAGCTCCCTTGTAATTTATTGGGATTTCACATGCATATGTTTGTACAAGTAGCAGCCAGTAAGTCTTGAGTTTATTGAACTAGCCCAGGTATATTTTAGGAGAGGACAATATTTATTCCATATTTACAGCAGTATGGGTTTGCATTGAGTCACCTGCAGGCTTGCAGCAAGACGAAGCCTACAGGGGAATATGATACATAAGCACGTACCCTTTCTGCTTTCCTCGCTGTCTTTCCCTACAGCCTTTCTTTTTTTAATGGTCTTCTTTCCAAAAAGACTTTTGAAAAGCCTCAAGGAATAGCATCAAAGTAAATGTTAAACACATTATCAATGAAGCTGGGAGGGTGGAAAAGAAACTGGTGCTAACCAGTCTGAAAATGAAGAGGGCAGCGCAGTGAAATGAAAGAGCTGGGGTATGGTGGATCAGTGGCAGAAAGGATGCTAAGAAGTGATCAGTGTTGCAGCAGAGGCAGGAGCAGGTTATTCATTTTCTGGCTGCATGAGCGTTCACTATGTTTGTTATAATTCAGCAGGCAAAAGGCAAAAAGTGCTTGATGTTTTCTTCATTATGAAAGAGAAGGAAAATTAATCTTTCTCAAATAAAGGTAAATGCTGAATTCTTATATTGTATTTGACTGATTTCTTGCTAAATTAGAATTGTGGGAGATTTTATGGGCCTAGGAAATATGATATGTAGCAACAGAATATTTTTTAGAAATAATTAGAAGCCCAGTCAAATACACAAAATATGATATGAAGTTACCTGTGCATGCCACCAGCCTAGGTACCTGTGGGCAGTTCAAATGCCCACTACAGAAGTGGTATGCTTTAGCACTCTGTGGCGTGTCATGAAAAGGACAGACATTCAGGGACAGCTCCTAATGAAATGAACAGAGCAGGTTTTAGTTGTCCTTTAGTTGTCCTTCTCTTCTTAAGTAGAGCTCCCTGCTGCTCCAAGATGGCAAGATCAGGTGGCTCTGCTCCAGGAGTGCATGTATACAGGTACTTCTCCTGTGGGATTGCATCCCTGCTAGGGGTCAGAACACCTGTAGAGATTATCCTGCAGAAGTTTCATTTAGGGAGAAGTGGGGATGATGCATGAGCATAGGCTCAGAGATTTGTGCAGCAGGTTCTGCTCTCTTTGAATCCAGGGTGTTTGATGGGGATTGCTGTGACAGTCTGTTCATTACCTCATGGTAGCATGGGAAGGGTGCTCGTTCCTTCCATGGCCAAATTTAAAATAACTTTCTGTTGCAATTGTAGTGCTGACCTGTACTCTAAATAACTTTGCTGGTCAAACAGCATGTAATGAAAATTCCTGATGCCAGAAGCAGTTTTACTAGGAGCACCTTAACCCAAGAAATTTGATCTGAACCCCAGGCTATTTCTGGTGTGGGGAGGAAGAATTAGATAAAATAGCAAGGACATTAAAGCTTCCTAGCTTTAATGTTTCACCTCTTCCACTGACAGTCCCTAAGAATACATTAAGAGTATAATTTAGTACAGTTTCCAAACGCCCATGTGTCACCAGGTAGGTAAGCATCATTATCTCTAGTGCAGCTGAAACAGAGAAGTTAATTGACTTTCCGTAAGGTCATGCAGCAAATCAATGTCAGAAAAAGGATTAGACTCAACGTCTTTGGTTGGAGAGGCAGATGTCTAATCCACTAGACCATGAAGGCCTCTGCCCAGGCAACTGACTTAACTCCTAAATCTCATTTTACTCCTGTGTTAATTATATTGGTGCTACCTTGCTCACAGGGTTGCCCTGAAGATGAATTAGTTAATTGCTGTTAATTGGTGCTTTGACAATATTGAATACTGTAAGATGGGGTCTATTTATGACAACTGTCTCTTGAAGACACAGTGCCTGAGTACATGGAGTTACCAGATCTTATAGACAAACACATGAAGCAGCTGCCCACTAGTCACTCAGCAGTAAACCCCCCCCACCATGCTATTTTTAGAGTAAGTAGAGAGCTTAATGAATATTCTGAAAATAATGAGATCCCCAAGCTCATGAGCTTGGGGAACAGAGGACCTGTGTTGATTGCTGATGAATTTTAAGTCGGCCATGAAGATGGCCAAGGTTGATCGCTGTTGGTCAACAAGCGAGCTTTACAGCTGTTGGTAAGGGAACAATTTGTAGTGTCTGGAGATAGTAGCTAATGTAGTTTATGTATATCTTCCTTTTTAACACCTCAAACTAAGTCACAGTTTGACTTTTGATGAAGGCAAGTGCACAGGCTAGTTCTGTAGCCAGAGATATGCTCAAATTATTTTCCTCTAATAAGCGTGGTGAAGTCAGAGTAATGAGGAGACAGTAACTCCACCAGTATGCCAGATTTTATTGCAATACTGAACATTAAAGCACTCACTGTTCACAAACGATCCATTTCTTGTAGCCACTTCGAATTTTTTTTTTAAAAAAGGTATGTTAAGAAAATTTCCCTGATATTTTCTTATAGTGCAGAGAAGGGACTGAGGTGAAGGCACCTGCAGGGTTTTTTCTTAATTTTGTACTTTTCCAAATTAGCACCTGCAAGAGCTGCAGGAAAACTGCAAGTAAGGAGGGAGAACTTGAAAACAGTGTCCTTCTCAACAAACTTTAATTCTGATTTAGTAAAATATGATAAATAATGTATTTGGCCTCTCAAAACCTGTGTGTTGTAGTCTTGTATAAGAATATAATTAAATGAATAATAAATAAAGAAAATGTTAATTTTAAGAGACTTTGAAAAGTGGAAATGGCTCTTAGGAAGCTTTTCATAGGTTGCTCTCAGGGACAGCTGGAACTGCAGTCTCATATGTAGATGAAGAGTTTTCTGCTACTTGTCCCTACAGCTGGACAGAAGAGGCTCCTTGAATTTATTCCTAAGAGCAGAGCTTGTTGACTCTGCTGGGATGTATTAGTGCCTTCCTTGTGAATGGACACGTGTAGAGAGCCAGGGCAGACCTCTGTGAT